AGGCCAATTTTCAGCTTGCAGCGTTGTCACACTTTGACAATTTTGCGGTCATGCAACACTGTACCCATATGAAATTATCATTTTTTTTCACACAAATAGAACTTTCTTTTGGTGGTATTTAATCACAGCTGGGTGTTTTATTTTTTGTGCTATAAACAAAAATAGAGCAAAAAAAATTGAAAAAAAAGTTTTTCTTTGTTCCTATTATAAAATATTGCAAACAGGTAATTATTCTCCTTCACTGATGTGCAATGAGGTGGCACTGATGGGAGGCACTGAGAGGCGGCATTGACAGGCTACACTGATAGGCGGCACTGCAGGGCACAGGTGGGTGGCACTGCTAGGTCACTGCTGGGTGTCACTGATGGGCCCTGATCATCAGTGCCGATCACTTTCCGGTTATTGGCAGTACTTTCCTCATGCTGTGACAATGTGAGGAAAGTGCAGCCGCTAATCGACAACTGTATTTACCTGGTGATCTACTGTGTCATTGGACACAGCTGATCACATGGTAAAAGGCTGCTGTGATTGGCCGTTTACCTTATCACATGATCAGCTGTGTCCGTATGGGGCATGTTCTGGAATGACATCCATGGACGTCGTCCCAGAACTAGACAACCGCGCTGTAGCCGTCTTTCGGCTATACCGTGGTAAGGAAGAGGTTAATTAATACTCCAAGATATATATATCACCATTTGTAGACACTATAACTTTCATGCAAACCAATCAATATACACTTATTGGGATTTTTGTTAACCAAAGACATGTAGCAGAATATATTTTGGCCTAAATTAATTTTTTTTTTTTTCCCCAAATTTTTTTATGGGATATGTTTTATAGCAAAAACCTTCTTTTTTAATTTTGGTCATTGTTCAGTTATAAAAAAAAATAAACCCAGCGATGATCAAATACCACCAAAAGAAAGCGGTGTGTGTGAAAAAAAAGGATATAAATTCCATTTGTATGCAGTGTTGCCCCATCAGTGCAGCCAATAGTGCCCAACAGTTGAATCAGTGCCACCTAACAGTGCCCATCAGTGAAGGAGAAAAATTACTTTTTTACAAAACATTTTAATAGAAACTAAGAAAAACGAAATTTTCCCCTCAAAAATTTGTGGTCTTTTTTAGTTTATCAAAAAATAAACCCCCCAGTGGTGAATAAATACCACCAAAAGAAAGCTCAGTCTAAAAAAAATGATAAAAAAGTAGTTTGGGTCCAGTGTTGCATGACCGCACAATTGTCAAAGTATGAGGGCGCTGAAAGCTGAACATTGGTAAGGGGGAGGGGGTAAAGTGCCCGGCAGGCAAGTGGTTAAAGCCAGAAAATAGGGAAGCGGCACGCTGAATGATGGTTTGTGAATGGGGACACGAAACTAACAGATGTTGTCCAAGTCCGTGTGCTACAGAGGAATCCTGGGAAAGCAACATGGCTCCAATCATCAACACACCACACACATCCAATGCAATGTACACTAGGCCGGCACACCCCTCCACACACGGTGGTTGGGGAGCGGACTGTACAATCACACGGTGACCCCATCCTCCAGCGTTAGGTAACCTGCTACACGGCACGGCAAGCAGCACACACCCCGCACCATCGCCCCTCCATTGCAGGACAGCCCGATCATGTGACCAAACATCACTCCCGCCCCTTCAACGACACAGGATAATAACCAATAGCTGGCAATGTCTGCACCGCCTGCACCGCCGCTGTCCAATAGCCGAATATTAGACAAGGGGGTCTGGCTGCATACTGGAGCTCCACTTTCCACAGGAAACATATGACCTCCACTCCACTTCTTTATTTAACTTCAATGTAAAAAATGGCTGCAAACTGGAGCTCCATTCGACAGGAAACATGTGACCTCCACTCAAACTTTTTATAAATGAACTTTAATGTAACGTTTCCTGTCGAGCTCCAGCCTGCAGCCATTGGTTGTTTGTTACATTACAGTTCGTTTAAAAAAAAAAAAAAAAAAAAGTGGAGGTCAGATGATATAGCGGGACTGCAGCGGGCATTCTGACACTGTGCACTATACACAGTGCAGCACACGTACAGCTCAGTACACTGTGCATGCATGTCACTATACACAGTGCAGCACACGTACAGCTCAGTACACTGTCCATGCATGTCACTATACAAAGTGCAGCTCAGTACACTGTCCATGCATGTCACTATACACAGTGCAGCACACGTACAGCTCAGTACACTGTCCATACATGTCACTATACACAGTGCAGCACACGTACAGCTCAGTACACTGTCCATGCATGTCACTATACACAGTGCAGGTCAGCACATTGTTCATGCATGTCACTATACACAGTGTAGCACACATACAGCTCAGTACTGTCCATACATGTCAGAAAGTGTCTGAGAACATGTGAATGTGTGAGGAGCAATGCCTCATGGGAAGTGCCACGCCTACTCAAAGCTGATAGGCGGCAGAAAAGGGGGCGGGGCTTGATCTAAGTTCATCTTGAGAGGCAGCCAATCAGGTGCGTGGCGCGCAAGCTGAGCTCTTGAGGCTCAGTCTGCAATTGGCCAACTACAGGGCGGTTGGGTTTGGGTGCGCTCCGTGTAAGAAAACAAATCGCGCCCACTTTCATGTCTTCCTACATCAATGCTTGCGGCCGCATAGAGAGAAGAAAGCGAATAGTCACTACAGGAAGGAGCGGGAACTTACGGAAACCGAGCGGTCATTTTTAATAAGGTACATGAGAAAACCATGGGGGGAGCTAGTGGAGTGCTGAGGCCTCCTGGGCTCCGCCTTGCATCCCACCCACAAAAACCTTCTCAGCTCCGACGCTGCTCATCGATGAGGACGGCGATCATACCGAAATTCTTCCCCGTCAGCTGCAGCGTGGGGGAAGGGGCGGGAACTCCAAGGCTGTTAAGGCAAGAAAACATAGGCCACGCCTACTCAACCTCACGGCACTCGGCGTTCCAGGGACGACCAGCGATCAGCAGACAGGGACGACCAGCGATCAGCAGACAGGGACGGGACCACGGCTCTCAGGTAGGGACACGGCAGGCTTGCAGGGTCTTGGCTGTGGGGTCTGTTTATTGTGAACTGCCTTGTTTAACCACTAGCCTACAGGGCACTTATACCCCCTTCCTGCCCAGGCCAATTTCCAGCTTTCAGCGCTTTCGCACTTTGAATGACAATTGTGCGGTCATGCAACATTATACCCATATGAAATTTTTATAATTTTTTTGTGACAGAGCTTTATTTTGGCGGTATTTAACCATTTGCCGCCCGCCCTATGGCCGAATAGCGGCCAGCAAATGTCATCAGCGTTCCAGGTGGACGCCATATGGCGTCCTCCTGCACATGCGCAGATTGCGCTCTTGCAGAGCTGTGCAGCGGCACGATCTGTCACTGGCCGTGTAACTCGGACACGGCCGATGACAGATCTGAGTATTGGTCCCTGTTGCCGGTACCATGTGACCTGCTGTGATCAATCACAGCAGGTCACATGACAGTTGTATACAATGGATGGCTTCAGTCATGCCATCCATTGTATACTACTGTCTAGCTGTGAATGGTCACAGCTAATCACATGCACATGTCATGTGATTAGCTGTGGCCAAATCACAGCTAAGCACAAAAAAACAAAACAAAAAAAAAAAAAAAAAAAACCTGAATGAATCGATGTCATTCAGATAAATGCTTGCTTATAGCAAAGTAATTCTTTGCTATAAGCAAATTGTGTAAAAAAAAAAAAATACTGATCACTTACCCAAAGTAGTACAATGTTACTATGGTAACATTGTACTACTTTGGTCATAGTGAAATACGAAAAAAAAAATCTTAAAAAAAAGAAAACAAATTTAATAAAAAAAAAAAAAAAAAAAAAAAAATATTTTTTTTTTTTTTCATACTGTCATTAGTCAGTGTCCCTGATCTTCGCCATGCCAGTTATATTAAGACGCTGTACTGCACTGGTGACATTATGTAAAAAAAAAAATAGTGAAAATCATTTTTTTAATTTTTTCATTTTCCGAAAAATTACGGCAAAAAAAAAATACAACTTAAAAAACTCGCCATTCCTCTTATGAAGTATGTCGGACTGTCTGCTTTGCAAAAAGGGGTCATTGGGGGATTGGGGGATATCTGCACTGTGTCTGACATTCTTGGACCTCAAGAAATTAGATTGGCCGTCAGAACTTCAGGATTGATCAATATTCAGATCTATACCATAGTTTGTGAAACTCTATAACTTTCCTACAGACTAAATAATACATCCTAATTTGGGTTATTTTCACCAAAGACATGTAGCAGAATACATCTTGGCCTAAATGTATGAAGAACAATTAATTATTTGCAAACTTTTATAACAGAAACAAAGAAAAACGTGTTTTGTTTTCAAAATTTTGGGTCTTTTTTTTTGTTAATTTAGCAAAAAAGAAAAACCCCAGCGGTGATTAAATACCACCAAAAGAAAGCTCTAGTTGTGTGAAGAAAATGATAAAATTTTAGTTTGGGTACAATGTTGTATGACCGCGCAATTGTCATTCAAAGTTTGAGAAGGCTGAAACCTGAAAAATGGCTTGGGCAGGAAGGTGTAAAATTGCCCGGTATTGAATTGGTTAATCACCTCTGGGTTTTTTTTTCTTTAAAAAAACCAAAAAAAACCACTGAAAATTTTGAAAAAAAAATTTTTTTTCTTAGTTTTTGTTAAAAAAAAATTGTAAATAAGTGATTTTTTTCTCCTCCTTCACTGATGAGGGCTGCACTGATGGGCACTGATAGGCTGCACTGATGGACACTGGGTGGCACTGATGAGGCACTGGTAGGTGGCACTGATGGGCATTGACAGGCATCACTGATAGGCACTGAAAGACAGCACTGATATATGGCACTGATAAGTGGCACTGACTGGCACTGTTAGGCGGCACTGACTGGCACTGTTAGGCGGCACTGATGCGCACTGATAGGTGGCACTGATTGGCATTGATAGGTGGCACTGATTGGTGGCACTGATTGCACTGATAGGTGGCACTGATTGGCACTGATAGGTGGCACTTATTGTCAGCACTGATAGGTGGCACTGATTGGCATTGATAGGTGGCACTGACTGGAACTGATGGGTGACACTGAAAGGCAGCTCAGATGGGCACTGATATCTGGCATTGATGTGCACTGGTGTGCACTGATATGTGGCACTGATGGGCACTGGCACGAGGCACTGACATAAGGCACTGATGGACACTGACAGGTGGCACTTCTGGGGCTACACGATCATCAGGGCACACTGATTATCAGTGCCCTGATGATCAGTGTACATGTCCCCTCCGTGGAAAGCCGATTACCGGCTCTCCTCTCGAGCTGTCAGCGTGACAGCTCGAGAGGATAGAAGTGCCGATAACCGGCATTTCCCTGTTTACATGTGATCAGCTGTGATTGGACACAACTGTTCCGATGGACACAACTTTTCACATGACCGAGCCGACATCTTCGGCTCTTTCCGTGATCGGTGATCTGCTGTTTCCTAGGGACACAGCGCACCGCCGATCGCCGCGCTGTCCGCTCCCTGAACCGTGCATGCGTGGTGAGAATGGGAGGACATCATATGACATCCTCCCAGAACAAGAGAACCACCTTGTGCCCGTCATATTACTATATGGCGGGGGGGGAGGTGGTTAATGTGAACTGCTGTTGAGCTGAACTGCCTTGTTTGATGTAAACTGCCTTGTTTGATGTGAAACTGCCTTGTTTGATGTGAACTGCCTTGTTTAATGTGAACTGTCTTGTTTAATTTTAGTGAACTGCCCTTGAGCTGAACGGCCTTGTTTGAGCTGAACGGCCTTGTTTGAGCTGAACGGCCTTGTTTGAGCTGAACGGCCTTGTTTGAGCTGAACGGCCTTTGAGTTGAACGGCCTGTTTGAGCTGAACGGCCTTGTTTGAGCTGAACGGCCTTGTTTGAGCTGAACGGCCTTGTTTGAGACTGCCTTGTTTGAGCTGAACTGCCTTGTTTGAGAGCTGAACTGCCTTGTTTGAGATCTGAACTTGAAAAAGCCTTGTTTGAACTGCCGTTGGTCTGAACTGCCTTCTTTAATCTGAACTGCCGTTGAGCTAAACTGCCTTGTTTAATCTGAACTGCCTTGTTTGAGCTGAACTGCCTTGTTTGAGCTGCCTTTGTTTGAGCTGAACTGCCTTGTTTGAGCTGAACTGCCTTGTTTGAGCTGAACAGCCTAGTTTAATCTGAACGTCCTTTTTTAATTGAACTGCCATTGAGCTGAACTGCCTTGTTTAATCTATACTGCCGTATAGCTGAACTGGGTGGTCTGGTGGGGGGGGGACTGTGACACACTGGCTCTGAGGAAGAGGTACAACCTCAAAACGCATCAGCCACCAGCTATCCAGAGGTTCACAGTCCCCCACCACACCACCCATAGGGGTTCCTGATCCACTGTGCATCCCCTGTGACATGTTTTTCATTTTAATCTGATTTTACATTTCTCTTGTGAGTATTTTACAATTTATAAATAAATCCCATGTTTAAGGTAATGCGCCAGGCCTGTGCGCCCTCTTTTTGTTTCTTATATACAGCTTTACCCATTGTGCATAGTAGTGGTAATAATAATTAGAATGAATGGATTTTATTTGTTATGCTTCATCTATGTTAAGGACAATAAATATTAGTCTGTGTATGACAAGAGCAGGGGCATGAAAAGGAATGGAGAGGGGGTAAAATGTTCACCCTGCCTTCCTTCACATAACAATTTCATTACAATCCCGCAAAGAGATGGCCCAATCCAGCAGAGACATCCCCAAAAATACAGCAAAGAGACAGTCCCCATCCAGCAAACAGGCAGTCCCAATCAAAGCAGGGAGATAAAAACCAGCACGACCCCTAATAAAACAACACACAGTAATCACAAAACAGTACACAGCTAACCCTTTGATCGCTCAGATGTTAACCCCTTCCTGCCCAGTGTATTAGTGCTTTTTATTAGCATTGATTACTGTATTAGTGTCACTGGAGATGTCAGTGGCAGTTGGTTCTCACCCAGTGCCAGAATGCCCACCAAAGTCGCTGATTGCCGCCATTACTAGTATAAAAAATAACCACTTGTCTACTGGGCACTTATGCCCCCTTCCTGCCCAGGCCAATTTTCAGCTTGCGGCGTTGTCACACTTTGACAATTTTGCGGTCATGCAACACTGTACCCATATGAAATTATCATTTTTTTCACACAAATAGAACTTTCTTTTGGTGGTATTTAATCACCGCTGGGTGTTTTTATTTTTTGCGCTATAAACAAAAAGAGAGCAAAAAGATTGAAAAAAAAGTTTTTCTTTGTTTCTATTATAAAATATTGCAAACAGGTAATTTTTCTCCTTCACTGATGTGCGTAATGAGGTGGCACTGATGGGGCACTGAGAGGCGGCATTGACAGGCTACACTGATAGGCGGCACTGCAGGGCACAGGTGGGTGGCACTGCTAGGTCACTGCTGGGTGTCACTGATGGGCCCTGATCATCAGTGCCGATCACTTTCCGGTTATTGGCAGTACTTTCCTCATGCTGTGACAATGTGAGGAAAGTGCAGCCGATAACCGACAACTGTATTTACCTGGTGATCTACTGTGTCATTGGACACAGCTGATCACATGGTAAAAGGCTGCTGTGATTGGCCGTTTATCATATCACATGATCAGATGTGTCCGTATGGGGACGTGTTCTGGAATGACATCCATGGACATCGTCCCAGAACTAGGCAACCGCGCTGTAGCCGTCTTTCGGCTATAGCGTGGTAAGGAAGAGGTTAATTAATACTCCAAGATATATATATCACCATTTGTAGACACTATAACTTTCATGCAAACCAATCAATATACACTTATTGGGATTTTTGTTAACCAAAGACATGTAGCAGAATATATTTTGGCCTAAATTAAGAATTTTTTTCCCCAATTTTTTTATGGAGTGTTTTTTTATAGCAAAAAAAAAATTTTTTTTAATTTTGGTCATTGTTTAGTTGTAAAAAAATAAACTCAGTGATGATCAAATACCACCAAAAGAAAGCGTTGTGTGAAAAAAAAGGATATAAATTCCATTTGAATGCAGTGTTGCATGACAGCACAACTGTCATTTGAAGTAGCGCAGCGCCATAGCAAACAATGGTCTGGGCAGGATCGGGGGGGGGGGGGTTGGGGGTAAATCTTGCGAAGGGCAAGTGTGGTTTTGTTTCCATAGAAGGGAAAGCTGGGCATGATATTAACCAGTTCCCAACCATGCTATAGCCAAAAGTCATCTACAGCGCGGTTGGCTAGTTCTGGGAGGGCATCCATGGACGTCCTCCCAGAACCACACCCCGCGTGCACGATCTGTGATCGCTGTGTCCTTTGGACACAGCTGATCACATGACTAAGGAATGGTCCAACAATCACAGATGCTTTTGTGAATGGGGACATGAAACTAACAGAAAGACGTTGTCCTAGTCCGTGTGCTATAGAGGAAATCCTGGGAAATCACAGATGCTTTTACCATGTGACCAGTTGCGTCCAATCACAGCTGATCACCGGGTAAATAGGAAATGGTGGTTATCAGTAGTCCTCTCCTTCCGCTGACAGCGCATGAGGAGAGCTGGTATGCGGCATGTCGCAGGGGAACATCTACACTGATCATCAGGGCACTGATAATCCGTGTCCTGGTGATTAGTGTAGCCCCATCAGTGCAGCCAATAGTGCCCAACAGTTGAATCAGTGCCACCTAACAGTGCCCATCAGTGAAGGAGAAAAAAATACTTGTTTACAAAACATTTTAATAGAAACTAAGAAAAACGATTTTTCCCCTCAAAATTTGTGGTCTTTTTTAGTTTATCAAAAAATAAAACCCCCAGTGGTGAATAAATACCACCAAAAGAAAGCTCGGTCTAAAAAAATGATAAAAAAGCAGTTTGGGTCCAGTCAGTGTTGCATGACCGCACAATTGTCAAAGTATAAGGGCGCTGAAAGCTGAACATTGGTAGGGGGAGGGGGTAAAGTGCCCGGCAGGCAAGTGGTTAACTTTAATGTAACGTTTCCTGTCGAGCTCCAGTCTGCAGCCATTGGTTGTTTGTTATATTACAGTTCGTTTAAAAAAAAAAAAGTAGAGGTCACATGATTCCTGTCGAAAGTGGAGCTCCAGTTTACAGCCAGGTCCCTTTCCAAGTCGGCAGGTGCGACCTAAGCACGCACGCACGTAAGGGGCGTGGCATGAGTTGCTAAAGAGTCCCTAGCAACCAATCAGTGCCTTTCAGGGCTCTGAAGCGTTCAGTCGGTTCCCAGCGCTGCTCGGATCAATATGCTACAGAGTGTCAGGCTGATGGACCAATAAACTTGCAAGAAGTCTTCACAGGTAGGCGGAGCTATGGAGGGCGGGATAAATCTAGTCTATGGGTGTATAAAGGAGGAGATTGTGGAGGTGGAAAAAGGACTGGGACCGATCCACCGTGTATGGTTCTCCCTGAAGAAGGTGAAAGCTAGCGATTCGGACTGGGCTGTCAGTAGGATCGGATCCGTTCAGCGAAGGCGGTTCTAATGGGAGGAATCACTGGGCCAGAATGGATGTTCCCAGTCATGATCTTCAATCCGTGCGCGATCGGGACAGAATGTGATGTGTATGTGCAGATCTTCCACAGGATCGATCTTCTGCCAATTGACTTGTGTGTGTCCGCAGCATTAGAAATCGTGCAGATGATGGCGGGATGACTGTGCTGTCACTTTATTCCCGTAGTAGTAGAGGCTCTCCAGGGCTGGGGAATGGCTTTCTATCAAACTCAGGCCGCACTGATCTCACCCACTTGTCCTCCAGAGATTTACCCCCCCCCCCCCTCCTGATCAGGCCATTTTTTGTGATACAGCGCTGTGTTACTTTGACTGACAATTGCGTGGTCATGCAATGCTGTGTCCTTTTTTTCCCACAAATACAGCTTTTTTTGGTTGTATTTGATCACCTGTGTGTTTTCTAAATTTTGCACTATAAACAAAAAAGACCGACAATTTTGAAAAAAAAAGATATATTTTTGACTTTTTGCTATAAAACATGTCCAGTAAAAATCAAATTTCATCATAAATTTAGGTCAAAATGTATTCTGCGTCATGTCTTTGCTAAAAAATATCCCAATACGTGTAAATTAATTGGTTTACATGAAGGTTATAGTGTCTACGAATGGCGGGATATGTACTGGAATTTTAATGTTTTTTTAAACTAGT